TGTTTATTAGGCTTAAGTTTTGTATCTTTCCTCGATTTGGGGAACAATATAAAAACTTGAAAAGTAAGTTTCATAAATGTAATAATTTTTTATTTATTTATTTATTTTATTTTTATCTACAGCTACAGCTGATTATGGTGATTAGCTGATGACATTTTAAAATCTAATTATCTTTATTTTTCAAAATATTATTTATATATACAGTAGAGTAAACTTTATGAATCTCATAATGTTTACTCTACTGTATGTTGCATATTTTTACAAATCATTGTCGAACGAACATTTATATATTTATTGTTTGTTTAAATAAATCATTAAATCATGTCGTTATTGAATATAGAAATATTTAAAAGTCATACGACAAATATTTTTTATTTACATATTTAAGTTTATCATTTGATGCCGTTTGTCCTATCGACCTTAAATAGAGGTGCGAGGGCGTGAAATAAACTGAATGCTAATTGGTCCAGTCAAGTTCACGACGGACCGTGAACAAAACACAGGGCTCCATTTTTTAAAAATTATTTCTTTTAGAGTATTCTCATCTGGTTGGGCTGAATAAATATATTAAAGGAAATAATAAATAAACATAAATATACATTTAATATACTAAAATAAATAAATCATATATAAATAAATTAAATCCCAAACAGATGGAAGCCTTCGGCGGGGGAGGCCAAACGCCCGAGGTTTAGGGGGAAAGGGATTAAACAATTATTATTATTCCACCCCTTCACTTAGTTTCTATTAAAATAATAATTGATACATAAAATAACTAAATTAATTGATAATTAAAATAGTTCGATTTTACTAACCATAACGTAAACCGCATCGCACGCTCGACTGCGTCATTGCAAAAAGGTGTTAATAAGTAGGTACGTAGTACGTCGGTAGTTACGCAACTAAGTTTATGCACAGTTGTCTCTTTTGCATCAAGCAAACAACTATGCATTCCTTAATGTGAAGAGAACTGAAACAATATCAATAGCGAGTATTTTGTTGAAAAATATCTTCATCCATTTTTCACATACCTACCTATAGTATCTGTATATGTATGTACCTATAGAAAGCATGTAAGTTTTGCAGTTTATTTGAAAATACCTATATGATAAGTCAATCCTGTAGTAACAATATTAGCCAGAATAATTTTATTAACAATCAATGTTATTGCATTCATCTATATTTATCGTGCATATAACACTAATCTAATATGCATGTTCCACACACACACAGGTAAATAGTGAAAGTTAAAGTATAAACTCCTAATTAACACGCTTTTATTAGCTTGGTAGATACATACCAAAGGAATTTTTGAATGTGACTTTCATCCCCCTTCAAAACGTCGGATTGATTTGTAACTTCTCACACTTATCAGTGACCTATAAATAAAATAAATAAAAAATAAAATATCTTTATTTCAGGCAACACAGGACCCATACAAGAATGTAGGTAACAGTGAAATGAAATATAACTTAAATTATAGTGTTAATAATTAAATTAATTTACATAAATAATGATGACAAAATGTAATTGGAGATGTTTGAGACCAGCCGCCACGAGGGTACCGGTGACTTATACCGTGGCATGTAGCCGTATCCAGCGATCAAGCAGCGGCGAGTCCCACCTATCTGCCATTGGGTTGACAATGCTAATGCTATGACAATTCAATAATTTAAATAGTTTGTCCCATTATCCTTGCCAGTATCCTTAGGATTAGCGATTATTCCATCCCTGATACCCGGTAGTCTTTGTGCCAAGTGCACGTATAGAATAAAACTTTCCGGAGAGGGAGCCTGAGAAATGGCTACTACATCCAAGGAAGGCAGCAGGCGCGCAAATTTCCCATCTCCCACATAATTTACCGACTCTGAATAAAATCAAAATTAAATATTGTGTAGGTACTGTAGTTTTCCAACAAGTTATATCTATAATCTACTCCGATTGTAGCTAAAAACTAGAAAATCTTCACTTTAACGATGAATAATTGATGTAATGTGTATTTATTTATTATGTAATGTGTTACATAATAAATAAATAAACAAAAAAAAAACACGCTTTTTTAAATAACCGAACTGAAAAGTAGAAAATAATTTACAATAAGTTTATTGTGAAAAAGCGTGAGGTGATTGGTGTCATTTGTTGTAAATATTTTTGTATTTGTAAAATTAGCGTCATCATAAAAATATCTGAAAGAGCATTCCACGCTTTTTTGCAATAAAATGAATTTTTATGTTAATCACTATTTTCTTATTTTAAAGTTATTGAAAAATTATTTTCTACTTTTTAGTTCAGTTATTTACAAAAGTGTGTTTTTTTTTCAGTTTTATTAAAATATTATTTATTCTAATTATATTATGAACTAGCTCTTCCCCGGGACTTCGCCTGCGCGTAATTTATTACGATTGGATGGGTTTTAATTTTTTTTTAATTCTTTTTCTAAAGGTGCGTACAGATTAAGTAACATGTTGTGTAACTTTTGATTTATAACACGTCCACATTATGTAACACTGTTTTTCAACATTACAACATATAACAATACTGTACACATTAGAATAACCATGCAATATAACAATGTTATATGACATTGTCGTTTGTCCTTCTGCCGTTCGAGTTATATAATATCTGTGTCATATTATACAACACGTTTTATAACATGTTATGTTATATAATGTGTACCTACGCACCGTAAAATAAAAGCAGCCTAAGTTACTTCTTATAACATCAGCTATCTGCCAGTGAAAGTCCGGTCAAAATCGGTCCAGGCGTTTCGGGGATTAGCCGGAACAAACAGACAGACAAACAGAAAGATAGACAGACAAAAATTTTAAAATCATGTTTTTGTTATAAGTACCGTATATACTTTCATACGAGTATGAATATAGTAAAAAGCTGTTATTTCGACATTAGAGACACTTCAATTTTATTTATTTGTATAGATGGACGCAGACTTTATAAATACCCTTCTGAGGTCACTCCTTCACACCTTTTGAACTAAAGTATATACTCGTAGCTTCGGAGGCGGCTACCGTTGCTGCGCACTCCTGACCCTTGCCAACCTACTGTCAGCTAAACAGACAAACTGAGGTAGACTACGGATCCTATCTTGACATTAAGATACTGTAGATACTTGTTCTCTACGGACTAAAATGTTTTTATTACACCTTTCTTAGTAAATTAATATTTTCTATCACTAAGTTCTCTAAATTATATCTTTTAGATTAATAAATTACACGTTGTGTATACAATAAGAACAATTTTTTTTAAGTATTAGATAAAGAGTATGTTTTACGAATAGAATTATTTTAATACCTCTACAAAACACGGCATGAGAATACTAAATAGATGAAAATTTTCAATAATGGCTAATATCAGTCTGAGTCTGGGACCAGATAACTTAAATTCCCTGCAACCGTAAGGAAACTATATGTAAGGGAAGTCCTCTTGTTATGGAGACCAATGGTTTTCTGTTTGTTTTGTATTCGCTGCAAATCATCAAAACACTCTTTTTCAGGGTAAAAAAAAACTCTATCTTTTGCTAATCTTGCTATTTCTTATTTAGAAACGTAAAACCAACAAAGAAAGACAGGCGGAGCGTTGGGTACATTTTAAGTGACGCAGAAACCATGCTTAAATTCTTGATATGCACTCAAGCACACACAGGTCTTTCTTATTTCTTTCTTTAACAGCCCATAAAAATCGACACCTGTATGTCGACACATATTCACATAAAACCATGTTGTTATATGTAATTGATTATAGAAGCATATTATATTATGTGTGTGTGAGTGTGTGTTATCACAATAAGTTTAGCCGTGTTTTGGCTTGGTTTTGGCGTCACTTGAAATTTAGGCAACGTTCCATCTAGCCTTCTTTGTTGATTTGAGCTAGATACATTCTATTTTAGTTAATTGAAAAGCAAAATAAACATGTGAAAGTATTTTCTTATTTTATGAACATACATGGAAGAAAGAAAAATAATTATTACCTACCTAAGGATTAAAATATAATAATAAATAAATTTATTTATAATCCTAATATTAATTGATTTTATATATATTTATTTTACAGTTTAACGAAGAACATTCAATGTTCTAAACAATGTTAGGACTATACCTACAATTTATAATCTCGGTTCAACCACCTTACAGCTTCATTTTAACTTTACAAACGGTATCGAGACAGAAAAAATGTTCTTCGTGATCGCTACCTCTTTTATCAATGTTTCGTTTTCAACTTTTTTGATCCGATTATTGACCGTAGTTTCTTGTTGACTGTGAGATGTTTTTGTTTTGGTGCTTTGTGCAATATAGAGCAAAAAATGTTTCTTCTATCTATATTACGTTCTTGTTCAAGTTTTCACGTCAAATTTCTTATTTTAAGTTATTGTATATTTTTTTCAAACTACAAGCTAATGATGATTAATTACCTAAAGTACATTGATATTGCTTTAATATAACAGCATCGTTCATCATTATAGTCAACTCTTTATTTAAAAACGTTTTCTTTCGGAACAAATGGTAACGTACGTACAACATCACACATATCAATTATTCGCGGTCGTTTCATTTAGCCGGCACAATTTATAAAGGTGAGATTTTTAATAACACTCATTTATCGTTGAATCAGTGCATAATTCAAATCTCTTTTTCTGTACCATCGTAATTTACATACGCTAAATAAAAAGCGGTGTCATCACAAAAGACATTTGGAGGCAATATAAACATAATATCAATTTAAATTCCTTGTTAGTGAGACGAAAGCCGACATCATAACTGAATGGGGCGCTTTACGATTGGTCGGGGAGTGAACCAATGAGAAGCGTAGCGTTGCGTGCGGGTCGGACGGGCGCGCTCGGCTTGACGGGCGGGCAGGCCTACCGTCTAGCTCTCTTCGCCTCAGTTCTTCTTCACACCTCGTATGGAAGTGACGTGATCGCACCCGCGTTCTTTTTCCATTTTATACATAAAAATCTGATTGTAAATTCAAACATATAAGTGACTATGCCGCGACCTTCTCGTGAATCTTACGGTGATCAAAAACCTCCTTACTCATACATCTCGTTGACAGCGATGGCTATTTGGAGCTCACCGGAGCGCATGTTACCCTTGTCGGAGATCTACCGGTTCATCACGGACCGGTTTCCATATTATCGGCGCAACACCCAGCGTTGGCAGAACTCGCTGCGACACAACCTGTCCTTCAACGACTGCTTCGTGAAGGTGCCGCGGCGACCAGACCGTCCGGGCAAAGGCGCCTACTGGACGTTGCATCCACAGGCCTTCGACATGTTCGAAAATGGTTCTCTATTGCGTCGCAGAAAGCGCTTCAAATTACAGAAAGGCGAGAAAGATAATCTGAATGCGGAATTAGCTGCTTTGGCTAGCTTTAACAGAGCATTTTTGGCACGTCAAGCCGGTGCACCGCCGCCGCCGCCTGTTTTACCTACCGCAACCATGTACACGCCTCCCATGTGCCAGCAATTGAGTCCAGAGCCTGCGGAATTACCAGAAGTGGCAACTATAACAATGCTGCCTAGGGAGAGACCCCGTAGAGCTTTCACAATTGACGCATTACTCGAACCAGAGCCGCCGCGGTCTCCTCCGTCGCCAACAATGCCGCGGTTGGCGATTCCGATGCCGTCCCCATATATGTTGGCAGCGCAAAGGTATCACGCGGAACTGCTTCAAGTTGCAGCACATGTACTGCGCCCTTGCTATATTCCTCCACCACCGTTGCCGGTCGCGTGACACCTGAATCCACTTCCCATATGCTCCGATGTCTTGTGCAATGTTAGATTGTAAGTACTGAACTCTTTTTAAAAGACTTTTATACTCATGCCGATTATTTATAGGGCTAAAGTGGATGATTTTAGAAACAAAGTACTGAATAAGTTCAATGTTAATATATTAATTGTAAATTACATATTTAGCGTTTGCTAAAATTTAAAACATTCTAAGGTAAGTACGGTATAATTTAGAAGGCCGCAAGCAATGAGGCCTAAATTGTGTTAAATTACAACTAAACGGCTCCACGCATAAATAACTGTGGGCGAACTGTTTCTGCCTCAAGATTTTTCTTTAGAATAATTTAGCGATCTCACTTGTAGATATTCGTATTAGATGATCAACTCAAACGTGCTTATTATAATATTACCATTTTTTAAATCTTTGTTTTAAATATGTTCCTGAACGCATTTTAATATTTTTTTAAGTGAGAAAAAGAGACAGCAGATTTGTAGATCTAAATATAATAGGAAAGTGGTTTACAAAAAAATATTAGTGCTAATATAGATAACGTATTGTGCGTCGAACGAATTGTTATTTATTTTATTCTTTAATTAAGATTAAGTTTTATTGTTGCTATTGTAGATATTACACCTATTGTAAATATTGTTTTCATTGTTATAATTTTTAATAGAATATTAAATGGAATAATGATTATTGCTAAATTTTGTTTTATTCTTCAATATTACCGAATGGAATCAATGGAAAATCAATAATCAATAACAAAAATAACATGGCATTATTAATTATGCAAAGCAACTGCACTACTACTGGGACTTTAATGTATTTATGACGTTTAGTACCTATACAAAAAAAAAGATAATAATTTTATGTGGAATGTATCTGCATATGCGATAACTGTTATTTTTTTAATTTACGGCTAACTTCCATAAAGCTGCCGGACATCATTTGGGATTAAAGTTAAATGTCTGAGGTCTATGAATTTTTATTAATCATTACTGTCTAATTAACTTTAATAATGAGAAAAATATGTCTACCTACTCTGCTACAAGTTAGTGCTCGATGTATGTTTTCGTTCAAATAGCATATGCTTCAGCTTAAACATTTGGCTAAATAATTCATATATAAATTGATTAATTTATTCATTACAGCTTGTCAAAGTCCTGTACCCTATGCCTTAAAGGAAACATATAGTTAGTACCACGTTTGGCAAGTGAGTTGATATCGCAGTTTTTATTATTTTTAGTTGTTATCAGGAAGATGCCCATTTTACTTTTTTGCGTCTAAAGGCTCCCTCGGAATGATATCAAGTACCTAGTTGATTCTCGTATGCTGCTATTACACAGAGTCATCCCATCGATATTTTACAATACCTATATTTGGCCGCCCACAAACATTCGGAATTCCGTTTCGGAATTTCGAATGGTTCAGCCACACAAATACGGAAACCCGTTTTGGCCGCAAAATTTCGAACGGAAAACTACCGTAGTACCTACGTGTGTGATGGGTCATATATTTTTTTATGAACTTGCTGCGTTCGGAATTCCGAAATGGAATTCCGTATGTATGCGGCGGGCCTTAATAAGGGAGTTTATGGATTTTTACGAGATTATAATAACATCTTATTAACAAATATATATATAATTATTAATAAAATAAATACATCTTACCCTTACATGAGATTAGTAAAGTTTTTTTTAATAGCAACCATAATATAAAAGAGATTTGGAAGAGGATTTAGATCCATCATCATCCATGAATGTAGTAAAAACCTTAACAAATCCAAATATTTGAACTTTGTCATACTAAACCTTACATAATATAGTCTTAATATATTCATATGTCTTTTTCCGAATAGTTTATTGGATAATTTGCATAATGCATGTATAACTAGATTTAAACTTTAATTGCATATAGAACGTTGACTGAAAACCAGACCAATTCAAATCCAAACATATTTATTATATACTAGCGACCTGTCCCTGCTTCGTCTTGGTAGGATCTACACTGACCGGCACAAAAAACGACTCACCTTGAATTTTAAGTAAATAATTGTTTTAGAATTATTTTTTGGTATCGTATCTTATTGATAAGTGTTATTTAATTTAGTCTTTGACAAATAATATCCGACAAACAAAACTAGTAAGCTAAAGCGGGATTCATCTGTGAACAGTACTTGGTTCCACTGTTCCATATCCCAATTCACATATTCATGTGCGGACGCAAGTTTGCTGACTCGATGCTGCCTGGTAAGCTCTGGACCATGTGCAGGTCTTCTCGCCATGATATCAGTTTCATTGGGACGTCTCCTGATGGTCCTGTCACTTACATGCACATCTCGAATTAACTACAAGGCGATTCCTGACTTCAACAGCAGTCATAGCCTTGTTACGTATTGTTGTAGTATTGTTAGGGTAAAGAAGTTTTTGGTGACCTGTTCCTGGCTGATAATAAACACAAATATAATTTCAAGATTATATATTTAAAGAAATCATAATGAGGCGTTTTTTGTGCCGGTCAGTATATTAATGTGGCGTTATTTATATTTTCTGCCGACTTCATAAAGGAGATGGCACTCAATTCGACTGCATGTTTTTTTTATGTGTGTCACCTCATAACTTTTTACTAGGTGAACCGATTTCGATGATTCTTTTTTATTTGAAAGCTGGTAGTTCACATGTGGTCCCATTTGAATTTGATCAAGGTCAGACCAATAGTTTTTGAGTTATTCTTAATAATTTATATTGAAGTTGGCTGTACAAAATGTTTAATTTTAAATTATGATATAAGCGCCGGTTCATTAAGTTTTTATTTATTTATAGATAATCATTAAAAACCATTTATTATGTCAATTTTTAAAATTCTCAAAAAATCCAAGTGTTTCTTATAAAATATAGCCTAGCTCACCCCTGGAATTGCTCTCTATCGGTTCGTCAAGTTTCATTATAACTGGTTCAGTCATTCTAGACAGACAGACAGATACATTTTTTAAAAATGGATATTCATGTTTTATTGGCATGCTAATGCCCCTCAGCTCAATAAAAGGCAGATATTTCGATATAACAGACAGACACTTCAATTTTATTAATATGTGCATAGATTTGTATTATTAGAGAACATTAAGATTATTTGAAGAGATCAAAAATATGTTAAAAATGAAGTCCAATTATATTTTAGGTGCTTATAACTACTGTAACTGCTATTTGAGACGATTAAATCAACAATTAAAGATTAACAAGCACCTAATAAAACTAAGCACGTTCAAGCAAAAGAGAAAACTGTGATTAATGAAGTTGTAAAATCTCGACTCTCCGTTAAGCCCTAATGAGGAATAATTATATAAATGACTGCCGATTTTTAAATTATTATTTTTTTAATTGAAAAAAAAATATACCTACAAATAGTTATATTTTTTATTAATTAATTTTAAATAAAATTATTTTCTTGCGAACCGTGTGAAATTTATCAGTTTTGTTATGAGCAGTCTCAATTTGTGTTAATTAAGTAATTTTGTATCTGTGGTTTTATTGTCAACTAGCTGGTACCCAGCGCGTTGCTGCCATAGAAGAAATAATTGTGGAAATATAGTTTTGAATTTCGAAAACTTATAGATATTGTGTAATTAGGAATGATAATACATTCAATTCAATTGAATTATAATAACATTTAAAATAAATTTGTCGTGCGATGAGCGCGCCACCTACTGTAAGTTAATTGTACCATGCCTATAACCTTCTCGCAAGTGCACAGCGCAAGTGCAAGCAATAAGTTGACAAAGTTTTAGCGTAATCTGATGAACGATATGGCAGCGCATAAAATACGAACAAACAAACATAAATTGTTATAAGTAGAAGATATGGTGGTTTTATGGAGAGACAATCTGCCCAATTCGACTGGCAGTTAATTAAGTAGCTAACCAATGTATGCCTAGCAGTGGACCGCTCCATGCTGATGGTGATGAAGCAGAAGTAGCAAACGCTTGGCTTATTTTTTAGTGTTTAACTATTCAGATTTTTGCAAATGTATACATTACAGTTTACAATAAGTATACATGCAAATACTATAGTAGTGGTCTCTTTCTGACTATTTACTTCCCATTTATCACTATTGCACTTCAAGTTTGGCAATCCGCATTAAAAATAAGGGCGGATGGCGCTTAATCAAAACTTATTTATTATATTTAGTTCTAAAATTATGTAATTAGGCATCGAATAAAATGGTATGTATAGATTTAGTTGATGATGGATTAACAAGGAATCATTTTGACTTTCAAGATTCGAACCGTTTCAACAGTTTCGTTTAAGTTATTATTTATTTATGTATCATCCAGCCTATCAAAGTCCACTATTAAATATAGACCTCCCCATAGATTACTATACTTATTTATTTTTTATGGAAGAGAAGGCAAACGGGCATACGGCTCACCGATGGTAAGTGATCACCGTCGATTATGAAAATCCGCAATACTAGGGGAATTGCAAGTGCGTTACCAGCCGTTTAGAAAGGAGTAGGCTCTTTTCTTGAAGCTCCCCAAGTCCTATCGGTGCTGAAAAACCGCTGGCGACAGTAAATACCACAGTATGCTCGTGCGAGGCAGAAAATCCCACAATATATTTAACAATATATTTAAATATGTATAATTTACTTTAATTTACGTCATATTAAAAGTATTTCTGACCATCGTGGGGGGCGTTAGACAAAAGAAGCAGTGAATAATAAAAAGTGTACGCGGAGGTGGTCTGTTTCACGGTGTAATGCAGCGCAACGGAGCGCATTTGTGCTCTAATAGATCGTGATATTGCCCGAGTTGAGCAGTTGCCGACTCATCCATCTCCTTATTGGACTGTTACGTAGCTATAACGTAGCAGGGAGAATTTGGGGAATTTCGACGCTACAAGGATGCTTCCGTTTAAGTACATATAGTAAAAAACTAGCGTTTTTCGTAGGTGTCGGGATTTAATCAAGAGCAGAATTGCTTTAGATATAACTAGCGATCCGCCCCG